AGTGGTATCTTTAGTTTTTCACTTCTGTAACAAAGGCTGTTTTGTATTGAGAATATTTGACTACTGAAGCCATAATCATCTTTTGTTCTGTATATTAATCAAACATTTGTCTTGCTTATATTACTGTTTTATAAAATTATTATACAGCATATTGAGACTTTGTATGATTTAAAGCTCAATGATCGCTTCTGAACATTTCCTGTGCTAAAATCTCAAGAAGGAAATACTCTTTATAGAGATCTTCGTTATTCAATATTCATCGTTATTCTTACAGTATGCTTGTTTGTTTAGTGTCTTGTGATTGACATTTTCGTTTACAAAGGTATATTGAAATCGCAGAAGGATATTGCAACATTTTGTTATATTGAATTTATTGATAGCGGACTTTATGACAGGTTAAATGAAAATAATATTTATATATTTCGTGCTTTCGAAGAGCTTTTCTAGTTTTGACATCTTCAGGAACGCTCAAACCTAAACATGGGAAAGCCAAGGATGTATTGATACGAAGAGAGGCGAGGAGCTATTTGACCAAGACGGACCTAAACAGAATACTAGTAGCCAAATTCATCTACGTTCAACTTTGCATTAGGGAGTTTCTTAAAACAAATTAATCTATCAACGGGAAATTACAAATGAGTAAGTTATAAAAGATGTCAGTTCCGACTTCTGAGCTGTTGATATCATCGGGAACTATCAGTCAAATAGTGGCAGTATCGACCCAATGCTAGAAAATTTAAATAAACATTTTATAAATTTCGAGCAACCCAAGCACTTTTCTGGATGTACCTTAATAATAAACTTCCTGAAAAATAGGTATTCGATCATAACATTTTAAAGTTATTTTTCAAGTTTGGAATGCTAGTACGAAAAACATAATTACCGATTGCCTCTCTGAAAAAAAAACACAAAATGGGATGTATCTCTTCTTTACGTTTATGAGATGTTTTTCCTTGTTAAGTTATGAAAGAAGTAGGCAGTATCAAAACCGGTACCATAAAACATAACTAAAAAGGAGGTGTTATTATTTTTACAGGCTATTTGTTACTTTCTTAATTTAGAATTATTATTGATAGCATTATACGGTATTATTTTAAGTACTTTCGGGAAAAGAAAGGGGATATAACAAAACTGTCTTTTGACCAGTTATGAGTTACTTACACAATTTAACCATGTAAGCGACCGGTTTCATTCCGTTTGGAGTTCATGCAATTCCCCCAGTATTTTAGGATGTTTTTTGTTTGTTTGTTTGGGTTTTTTTTGGAGGTGTGGGGGGGGGGGGGGGGAGGGGGTATTTGAAATTAATTGAAGAGTTTTGAACATCGGTAAACTTCTTTTGCTTATTATTTACAAAGTATCTACTGTTTATCTTGTAATTCAAGACAAGTTATATCAATTAATTATTAACATATCAAGTGACCTCATTTCAAAGAGAAAAAAACCCTTATATATGACAAAATCAGGTCACATGTTTATTAATTATTATTAAGAAATAAATATGAAATTATGTTTCCAACACTTTCGAGTGGTTGACCGTAGAGAAAAAAATTCTATCTGTAGAACTTTTTTGTCCTATTTCATTAAGTTTCTACTTATTTATACATCCCTGGCTTTCAAATGTTAAGGTTTGACAGTTACTGGTGAAGGTCAATCCAGAATAGCGCTTTGGCTGAAATTAATGAAGTGTTATTTTCATTTTTTTTTTTTCGAAAATCCATACCTTTAATTGCATTTTGACAACTTGCAAATTTTTTTTTAGAAAGTATCCAAAATATTTAGTATACCATTTTTATGTCTTGTTACATTTTGTTGAATTACCTAAAAACTATGCGTACAAACACCAGAACAATTTTCAGCTCCGAGCCGATCAGAACTGATGTTATGCGGCGAATTTTCAAAATATAAAACTTAATGGAGGTTTATAATAGTTCGATAAACTGAAGCTTCTAAATATTCACGTTTCATAAATAAAAGAAATGTATAACGACGTTGTTTTAGTATAAGTCTTTCAACATAACTTTAGAAGTTCCTGCTGCAAAGGACACAAATAGTAAACTTCATAGTTATTTTAAGAAGTGTCTTTAAATTGATTCCCGTTCAGCGCGTATTCTTCGGTTTATTGGGAAATAATAGTAATTGAAATTGTTTTGTTGTTTTTGTTTTTTATTGCAAGGTAAGCAAATTTCTAACGTACTATGAATTCCCAAGAATATATTCGTTCAATTGGCACGATCACTGTAACAGACAATTTATTACATGCCTTGAATAGATTTGTCTGTTGTGTCTAGCTTGACTCGATAACATTCGTTAACCTAGCACAAAAAAGAACCAAACATCAGTGAGATAGCCCTAAAGACAACTAACACAACGGAGCAAAACATATCAATTACACGAAATTCTATCTATAAAGTAGAAGGATTGACGAAATCAGGTAAAAGGAAAACCAGAACATTGTTACCACACTGCGTCTAATCATACGATCACATTCCACGTATCAGCTGAGCAACTGAATGTCGGACTGGGAATAAAAGTTCATCAAAATCGATAAGAATATAAGAAGAGCATTACAAACCAAACATTCTACAAAAAATATTCCAAATACGGCTAAAGAAATATATGACTTGGGTAGCAAAACCTTAGAGTTGCGAAAAAAATATTAGTATTTACAGAAAAGGAACAAAACAAAAGTGCTAACTATTGGGATGGTGAACAGTGGCGTCGACCCAGCGGCTATAAGATAAAAAAATAGTTAGGCAAACCAGAAACTAGGTTTTTTTCGTAACTACGGTCGACTCGTGGTTCTGGAAAATAACCGTCGTAAGGTATAGTCGAGACCATAACGTTATAAATCCTAAAATATTATACTTTTGCCAAAAGACCAAAACAATAGAGCGTTTGAGGGCATAATAATCAAAAGAACCTAAGAGAATACCAAACATGTTTAAGGTCAATTTACCTCCCGAAATTAGTTTTTAGTTCAGTGTTATAAACTTAAAATCTCAAACAGAGCATGACCAGTGCGTAGATAGAGAGTGACATGATTTAATTGATAACCTACTTTTCTAGATTCTCCGTAATTATTAAAAGAAAAAAGAAAACAATTACAAGGATTTAATCTCCTAAGGCATAGTTGATCATATATGATTTGGGGTATTTTTATGTCTCTTTTGGTCATACAGCTCCTCCAACTTCCAAGCAAGGACCCAAGCTCATAAACTCGGCAATATACGCAGGACTTCGGGAAAGTTCGGAGAGTCGACAACCTTGCTTCGAAAAATGACAGCTCATGATGTATTCAAGTGTTTATAAATCCTTGGCTCTCAATTTATTGAGTTTGAACGCTCTGGTGAAAGTAAATCTAGAAAAGCGCTTCAGTCGCATGCAATTTATGAAGTTTTATTTTCATATTTTAGGAATATCCTGCCGTCATACGATTCTAATGTTATATCCAGTGGCAGGCGTCTGAACTAAGAAGACGACATCATATATGATATACCCGTTTATGTAACATTATTTTTATTATATTTTCTTGAGGCAACTCTGCGTTTATACATTATGATGATTTTACAGGCTACGTTTTACTTCGCTGTAATTAGATTTCCAAAAAGATGTGTCAAATTTCACCAGTGTGGTTTTCACTAATTGGATAAAAAAAAGTCGATAATGAAACATGGTGGAAAGTCTTATACAAATGTATTCTCAAAAGATTTTGCAATACATCTTTGAATCAATTACTAGTATAATTCAATACAAACTACAATTTGACAGCTTCTGGAGAAAAAAAAACATATTTGAAAGACTTTCATTATATTTTGTTTTGTTTTGTCTAGAATGTTTTTGGTTGAATTTTTTAGATTTTCAGCAACAAAAAAATTACTTATAGACATGCGGGTTTGAGGCATCTTTAGGCATTTATAATTTGCTGACTAGACGTTAAAAAACGCCTTTATGTTTCATAAATATCTAAGGACATATGCACGATGCAGTGATACCTTTAGTTTGATAGACAATTGGTAGATTTCTGTTTAAAAACAAATATATTAAAAGTTTTATATTAATTCATGGTCTTAGATTTAAAATAGGGTTTATGTTTCCTCTCATTCTTAACATAGCTCAAACTGCAGTTTTAATAGATTATGAACGACAAGCAAATTAGTTAATTAATCGGTTTGCGTATACTTGAAAGTCATCTTCCCTCTCAAAACTAACTGAATTTCCTTTTGGTCTCGGATGTTATTTCAAAAGCAGGTGTCGTGGGTACGGAAATTGTATGCGGGTTATTTTATCAATGTCATCATGTTGTCTGCCAACATTGATTTAATCGTACTAGTAGTGTACCTATGGAAGGGGTGGACGTTTAGATATATCAAAATAAACATCAATTACCATGCGTACGGGCATGTTTTAAATTAATTATTTGGTCTTAATTTTTATCTAAAAGATAATTTGTTTCGGAAGGAAAGTAAATAAAATAGTCTATTTCCATTGAAAGTAAGGAAAAATTTGAATCAATATTGAGTTTAAAAATAAATTTCTTGTTTCTATATAGTATTTTTATGTCGGAGAAAAATGTTCGTCCTGAGAAGAAACCCCCTCCCCTCCAAAGATGAATAGTTGGTACAATGTATCAAGTATAATTTATTGTACGGGTGTTTAATTTCAAATTGATTTAATTTTTCTAAATGTACCACGTGTTGATATGGCATATCAAATATTTCAATGTAAAGCTGACTTGTGATGAAAATTCAATTAAGTTGAAACAAATTAAAATAATTATGTAACCGGAAATTTTCAGCTTGATTTTCCACAAGGAATTATGATATAAAATTTTGATAAAAAAAAATCATCGGTATTTTTATTAACAAAGCAAAATCGAAAACGATCAATCTCACCTTAGCTGGGCCTCATTATCATATCTTAAGAATTAATCTAATATATCTTCAGTCTCCACCTATCTATTATGACAAACACGATAAGTAAAATTGTGAAGTACTTTGCGGTTTTGACAGAAGCCCTGTCATTTATTTGACATATTGAGTCTGGTGACAAATTGGCTCACTTCCAAACACATCGTAAACATGTAGCGAATAGGTGTAATAATTTTGACCTATGATTTCTATTTATATATTTTTTTTAAACACGAACAAAGTAAATTTCTTAATGCCTTTTGTGAGTCATCTCATGTAATATTAAAACTTATTGATCTAACTGCATATCAATTAAATGCAACGATGAAAATATAGAACAAGGTCACTTCGGAAAACTTAAACCAAACTCTATTAAAAATTTAACATTGCATCATGGTCTAATGTTGTAAAAATAGTCTCGACATGCGACACACTTTCTTGTTAGAAGCTTGTTACGGCTTATCACTATGGTTACGACAATGACGAATCAGTATATATAGAAAAAGAAATGACGCATATTGTTAAATTTCTCTCCCATGCACGTGGCTTTGTTTGTTTTTATATGCAAATGATGTTTTGGTTTTGACACGCGGGAAGTTGGAAATGTGACAGAAGCAGACATAGAAACAAATGTTGACGAATGTATAATGGCTGAAAACAATGGAAGATAGTTCTCAACAAATATATCCCGAATATGTTGGAAGATCTTTACGAGTTATTGGCGATGAAATGAACGATTATTACTTAACTGCGCAAAATGGGGGTCGTTCGCCATGGATAGTCAATGAAAATGTGCGGGATAAAATTGTGAATATACTGTATTTTTGTATTCATATTATACATGTTGTTTGGTTGGAAATTTGAAGAAACATTCCAGGTAAATCATATCTTGATCTCTCAATTATTGTAAAACAAACAAAATCCACTTAAAAACGAAGATGCTCCTGCTTTGTTCTATGTGTATACACGTTTCTAACATGCATTATTATAGGGGAAAACAGGGCAATGATCATAATAAGATGCAGTGCACTAAATTTAAGCTGGATATTAAACGGGGTAAACATTTTGAACATAAACATTGTTATATATTTACATTTTAACAATACTGAAAAATCCTAGCTGAATGCATATGAAAATCAAAAAATCTGCTTTTTCTATGTTTATGATTTAAAGGCTTTAGATAAATGTATCAATGTCCGTCAATTTTAAAATGTCTTTGTCACGTTCTTGTATACAAATAATAATCACTTCAGATAAAGTACTTAAGTATAACAGTTTTAGTGTCAAACTCTTGACTAAATGTCAATAACATATTATTTCTTTGTTGTCGTAAATTTAAAATTGATGGTTCAAAGTCTATTTATGAAGTGCACCACGGTTGAGTTTGATGATCTTTCATGCACATTATTTCTGCATCAAGTAGTTATTTGTTGTTCAAATATTTGTGTCAATTGCATACAATAAACGAGAGAAATTGATTGTTGAAACTTAATAAAAGTAAATTGACAAATTATGAAGCATATAATTGGTAATGATTGAGAATGATGTTTTTATTACGCAACATAAATAAAGCAATTGGTATCAAATTAATGCGTTTATCAATATGAAAATTAATACGCTATAATAATAATAAAAAAAGGTGCACAACACAATTACGAAATAGGCATGAAAAGTGTGTTTTATATATATATATATATATATATAGCAAATGAATGATGTTGACAGGCCAATTCATGTGTTAAAAGACGCAAGTTCAAAGTTCACGATATTGGGGTATACCTTTTTATACCTATTACTCATTTGAATATTACAATCTGTATTATTCTGTACTATTTACATTATATAAGCATTATGATAGGTCAGTTTCTCAGGTATGGTGATTCACTTTGACATAGAGGCAATGTAACAACGGTTCTAAATATTGCTTTCTTTGTTGTTTACAAATGCACGTGCGTGTTTTGAAGACACGTGAATAAGAATACATATCTATGACCTTGATCTGCCATCGAACCAATTCTTTCCCACGATACGTAATCACTTAAAATGAAATATACGCAACTTAGTATGTTTTTCCCAACTTAAAACAAAGAAAGGCAATTAAATTTTCATTAGTAAAGATTTTATTTTATGATTTAAAAATGCTATGATAAATTGCTGAACTAACTAACCAACTGTAAGAATAATTCTAGGCTTTTGATTAAAAGGGGGCTCCCTCCCTTCAGGAGCTACATATATGGTTAATGTTTAGACTTTTCCACTCCTACCCGAGCTCCTACCATTGCCTTGTTGGTACCCACTCCCTCCCCCCCCCAAAAAAAAAATCCCCTACCCCCCTTTTTAAAATCCATGATCCGTATTTGTCATATTATTTGTTTTAAACTACACTAATCTGTGATCATGAAAGAAATCTTTTAGTAAAACCAATTTTCGTTCTAAGTGAACGGTGACTAGAAATAACTTATTTTGTTGCGATGGTATTTGTATCGATAAGCGAATGATTTTTTTGGACTAACGGGTCGGATGTCACACTTTTACTGAAATATGTATTTTATTTATTTTTTTTTTTTATTTTGCTCAACATTCATGAACGCTATTAAATTTTGCAATTGGAGTTGTTTTTTTAAAGACTTTAGCAGTAGGTCAAACGCATTTTTTCATAGAATTTCCAAACTATAAGGGACTAATAGAGTTAAAATCGCGTTTTTACATCATGCAAAGAGTTTTTATTTATCATCTAATCTGGAAGTTTTTTTTCTCTTGCATGTAATATTAAAATCGAAATTTATACCCGCCATATAACTGTTTTCAATTTGATTTAAAGATACACCGCGACAAACATATTAAATGGGACAGAGTGAAAGATCTGATTTTAATGATATTGTACTGTATTCAGCACGTTACCGTACGGTATCCACTTTTGTTTGTGATATAGACTTCCTTATAGACGCAACTTTCTTTTGTCGACGTGTTGTGGTCCTGTTATGTTGATCACAGTCTGACCCTTTACATCTCAAGCAATCATTTTCAACTTCTAATAACAAAAACACTTTGTTTCGAAAAGAACTTTCTTAGTAATGTATGTCAATAAGTGTTTGTCTAGACAACAGCAAAGCTATATCGAACTGAAAATTACCTGAACAATATAGATGCTATATAGGTGTATTGCAAACAGGTGTTAGGAAGAAAATATTAAGTGTTTTGTTATCAGACATTTACCCTTTATCTAACTTCATGTCATTTCAATGCAACTTATTGATGGCGAATAGACCTATGAAAACTGTTATGACTGCGTTCTCCCCCCCCCCCCCCCCATACCCACAAGAAAGGCTTTGCAGGACCGGATCAACTGGTACACTTCGGCTATGCTTAAATTTGGTTAAATGCACACTGGTCTACAAATCCATGCAAAATGCTATGTGGCAACTCTTGTGTGTAATGAAAACGCTACCTGTTGTAATATAAAAAGTTCCTTTTTTTCTCACTAAGCGCGGATACGGTTCATTTCGACGCTAACTGAATTAAAACGCTAATAAGGGCATGGGAGATACAATACTTAACTCGTATAGTATTATTTAGATCGGTTATGCGAACAGTATACTTTGTAGAATATTCATAAAACTATTTGAATGACCGTAAAAAAGAAGGTTCATGTATTCAATCATATTCTGAAATACATTTTAAAAACCAAACGATATATGATCGGAATTGCATTCTTTAATGCAGTAACAGAACTAAAAGGTTCAATAGAGCAACACTTGTCTCTGAAAACATTTACATATATATATGTCTTAAAATGTGTAATTTTTTCAGGGACAAGTACTTGTATTGTTAAATTAAAAAAAAAAACAGTAAAAATTATTATTGAACATGTCTCAATATTTATATTGTGAATTATATCATTTGTAAAATCGTTGTAATCATTGAAGAAAGCGTATGATATGTGTAATTATTGATTTGTTTTTACAGATCTGTGATTCGCATCAGAAAAAAATGTTAAGTATCTGCTACATCATTTTCTACTTCTTATTCTTCGGTGTACAATGTCAAAAGGGTAACAATTATCGACGTTCATTTTCGCAATCTAAGCAAATATATCTATTCCTATCTTTCCCCCTTTTCGAGACCGAAAAGCAGAGAGAGAGAAAAAAAAATGATAAACAGAAAATAAACAAATTTGAAAAACAAAATCCACCCTTAAGTTAGCACTGAACTTTGAAAATATTGTTTAGCGCTCTTTCCATTTTTAACTTTTCATTATTTATTTTTTTTATTCGAATTTCTTTGTCTTTTTTTTAAAGCCTTTCGTTCGCCTTTGTCACCTTTCAACTTTTCTCTTGAAGCCATTAAATCTGTTGACAAATTACATGAATATATTAATAAACACCTCTTCGACGTATTTGTAATGCCGTGAATAGAACAAGCTTTCTAAGGTTACAAAAACACTTAAGGACATTTTTTTATTGACCCTGAAATATCAAATGCACTTTTATAATTAAAATTACACTGATGCTGTAAGGAAGTTTGAGATATCAACGATATTTCTTTTCATTTCAGATTTTACATCTGTTACCCGAAGTTCAATAATCGGTAAACATTGACATTATATAAGTAAAACTTTATATACATTGGGAAAAGGATTGATTCAGAGCATCACCTGACATGAGTAATGTGTACCGGAAATTCCAATGCGCTTGGGTATATTGTGATTTTGGAAAGACCGGAAGTAGTGGATTCCATGACAATCAGATATATATCATCAATGGAAATGGTGCAGGTAAAAGGTTTTTCCAAGTCCACTGTGTGTAGGATTTTCCCATGTATATGGACCTGGAAAGGGGTTTTCCCTAACAGAGTATTGACATCGTTATCGACCAATTGATTTTTTCTTTGTTACACGATCCACAATCTCTGGATGCATTCCTTAGTTTAACATCGTTTCGTTCATCTCATTCACAAGAGAGATACCGCAAGCTGTGTTGGAAAAAGGCGTAAAATAGTTTTAATTAGAATGTCATGAACATTATTTCATTTTTCCAAAGGAATGCGTCTGTCCGATGTGCCGTTGATTTATGCAATATCTATTTTCATGAAGCAATACAAAAGATTTTATTTCTTATTCTAAGAACAAATCTCTATTTATTATGTAAATGTCTGTCGTTTAAGTGCCTATTTGTTGGTTCATATTTATGAAACAATAGAAACTTTGATTTTATAACATTTCTTTGTCTTATTGTTACATGTCTACGATTTTTTAAATATAAAATTTACTCTTCCTAAACCACAATTCAAGAGATAATACTGTTTATATAAATGAAGCGTACATAATTCTATACTTTAATTGGATTTATGTATCTATGTTTAGACAAAGTTGAACTAGATTTTGTACAATGGTATTGATTAATTAAACTGCGACACTTTTCATGAATATAAACATTTCCAAATATCATTTACACATAATTTTGTCAGCTGATCTCAACAAATTGAATTTGCTCATTTCAATTTATTATATGTAATTATTTTTATGCAAATCGTACTTTTTAATTTACTTCTTTGTACTGTTCATCATATAAATAGACATTTTTCAGTCCTGTAAATGCACCTAATGGCATGCCTTTATGACTTTGATATTTGTGATTTTGGATAAGATCCAAGCTATTTTTGTAAAAATGTATTTCGTAAATATATACACCTTTGTTATTGATTTTTAAAAATAGAAAAATGCGTTTAAAACGAGACATTAAATATGTAAGAAAAGCCCACCTCGATGTTGTTTTTCATCATTATAATGCCAAATTGGCTCTTTCATCTCATTAGTGTAAGTGATAATGATATGCCTGTTGAATTAGTAATCCCGAATGTGACACAGTTACGTACTATCTGTATTTGTTCTAAAGGAAAAAAAAATTGATAAAAATAGAGAATTTTTGATTAAAATATACCGGTATTGCGGTAATGAGAAAGTGATGAATTAGCAACGGAAGCCTCGTTGCACTTTTAATAAGTCCTGAGTTAACTCAGAAATGATATTTGAGGCGAGATTTTTTTCATCCAAAGGGATGTAGCTCGTTTTAAAATAGCTTTTGAGTAAATTAAGTATAAAGGGAAAGAAATATCAAACTAAATAGGCTGTTACTCTTGTTTTAAACGTTAATTTCAAACCTAATAAAGAGGCGTGTAAATAATTTAACGAAGGCAGGGAAATAAATAGCTTATTACTGGAAAACATTGAAGGAAACAATAAACATTTCTCACAGTAAAGGCAGCGTGTACATATTTTACATGGAGGTAATTCATCAAATTACGTATTATACAATGAATAAATACAAGTAAATGAATTAATCAGCCTGTCAAAATGTTCGTTTTAATTTGTGGTGATATTGAGTTGTTACGTTACATTAATTTTTATTCCATTTTCAAAGAATTAATCGACTGACAAGAGTTTCCTTCAAACTTTCGAATTGTTTTGCTAAATAGAGTTATCTTTCTTTAAATGTTTTGTAAATTAGCTTGACTTCACTGTTGAAGTGTTGCTTGTTATACTGGTTGAATTTTTAGAGTTTCAAGTATTTGTTAGGCTTGTAATTCATTTCAGGTTCGTGTTTTGACTTGGGATGGACAAGAAAAACTTATTTAAAGAGAAAATAATATGATAAATGGTTAAATTAATTTGCCGTTTCACAATCTTAAGGACTAAGGGTAATTCATGGTTCGTACCCGAATGGAAATAACGTCACGTTATTGACTGAATTTACATTGTTTTGGACGCTTTTAACCAATCACAACGTTTTGAAGTACGCCTTTGAAAATATTACCCAAAATGCTTTAGATTCTGAAACGACCAATTCCTTATCCATTTCCTGTTTATTAACAAGCAATATTTCACGAAGCAGTGATACGCATGTGTTTAGAATATAGTATATGCATGGTATGGTATGGTAGAATATATGTTTATTTTACGATTGTTCAGGGTATCAAAGATATATCTAGTGTAGACTGAATTTGAAAATTAAAACTACCAAGATGGTTACAAAATGTATGAAACAATGGATTAGTTGAAATGTTTGAGGATTTTGTTCAGAGATATTATCTTCATAACATTAGCCACTTTCCATTTCCAATATATTACGGTAGTTTGATATTAAATACATATGTTTTTCCAAATTATAGAAAACAATTATGTATTAATCATTATGGCTAGAGATAAACATGTCATAAAGTGCATATGTATGATAAGGCCAAATAAAAAGTATGTGCGTTTAGGGTTCCCTCCGTATATTAAAGGATAGGTAGGCAGGTGTTAGAATGATTTCTATTTTAATAATTTTTTTACCTTGAGTTTATTAGTAGACTTAAAATTTTGTCAAAATTCACTATCAAAAGAGCCAATAAAAACTTCAGAGTAGGAATTTAGAGGTATATGAATGGGATAAGTAGGATATCTAAACGCATATATTTTTATTTTTATTTTGGCCTAAAACTGTTTAAATACGTTTGAGTAGTCATTATATTTTCATGAAATCAGCTATTTTGTCGAGTTCAATCATATGCGAGCATTATAGTAAAGAATGCAACATCATAAAACCCGATTCACATAGTAGCATAGAAAAAACACAGAAAAATTGGGTGTATAATAAATTGTTATGAAAGATTCGTGAAATACTTGAACTTTGAAATTCTCTAAGGGGAAAGAATCTTTGATGATATTCAGGTTTCTAATTTCAAAAAGAGAGAATAGAACGAAACTTAAACACCAACTTAATATTTAAATCAAGAGATTAACTTTGTGGTCCACCGTTTAGATTATTTTAATAATGTTTTGTACTTGTGAACATATTTTTGCCATACAAATTTCAAGTGTTTGACGAATTTTTCACTTTGTAAATCTTTAAGTAACATTATGCAAAAGCATAACAACTGGACAGATGCCAGCATTGTTTATGTCCATGAAGACATTAAAATTGTTATAAATGTACTAAAATTTAGGCATGGCAAATCCTGATAGCAAATCATTTGGTGCAATCAAGCATTCAGTTTTATTTTCAAGTGCTATTGATTTAAAGTACTAGTATCAGTATTAAGATTTGTTTTGAACTATTTTTGGGCGGATTTGTCAAGCCTTGTGATTGAGCGAAGAGTGAGACCCACAGGGACCGTCTTAAAATATCCCCTTTCCGTTGATTTTATAAAATTATAAGATAGTAGTCATCACTTTCACATTTGAACAAAGCAACCCAGTACGTTGCGTTTTCATACTTTTATTCCTTTTATTTGAGCTTGTCGGTGCTAAATTTCAGATCGAAGTTATCGCCCATTAACCATCACTATGTTAAAATTCCTGACATTATGATTATATCGTCTGTTCAAAAAGGTCATATTTTGAGACGGTTCCTAAATGATGTTGTATTTAGTAGAATTACGGGTCGGAACTCGACACATTTTTTCTTGTCATGCGTTGAATATGGTGCCAATGTTTTTTTGACTTATTTATGCGTTATTTAATTTTTTATTTTAATTTTTGTTGCAAATCAGATATTTATAGAAGTGAGAGAATGACTTTTGTAAAATTAATAAAACAATTAAAACAATTTATTGTGTATATTATTTATTTGGTTATACGATCTCCAAGGAATCTATGTGAATGGGACAAAGGCACTGAACAAAGGTCAATGACCTCCAGAAAAAAACCATCCAGAATGAATAGATGGTGGACTACCGTATGTTGATCTCTTGGTGTCTTTGCTTTGTTTGTTGCATGACGTATATCCCACATGTCCTTTTATTCATATTCAGATTTCAACACACACCCTTTATCTGTAGATCCCGGAAATCAGTGACCTGTTCAATAGCGATATATATATTATAAATGAACATCGTTCTGAATATGCATGAAATTTTTGCTACTGAACGTTAAGCAAACAACAATAAATGAATGATGTAAAATGTTCTCTTATTCTCATTCGATTTATACTTTTCCCGATCTATTGATTATTTATTTTTTTAAACAACGTGTGGTTCGTTTGATCCCAGTTCTCCATTGGATACACTATATAGTTGTATAATGCCTAAAAGAGAGAAAAAATGCCTAGGGCAACCAAAATCGTAAGTCTAATAAAAACAGACAAGTGCACGACCAAATACAAAAATAAACTGCTGGCATAATTAGGAATCCTTTACTATGAACGGTTACAAGTGTTTCTAAGTGTTTCCGATGGCGATTTTTGTTTGGCAAGTCATTTCAGTTTTATACTATATATGTAAGTGACTCTTGTTAAAATATGTGAACAACTTGTCTTCTTGAGTAGCCGTCTCCTTCCGATGTTAATTGTTAAACTTATGATAAAGCATGAGTAATTCATTTCTCTTATTAAAACAAGAACTATGATAGGGAGGAAAATACCTGCTCATTGGTAGAATAACACACTTGTTTCCCGAACAACCCAAATCAGTTTCGCTCTTGTTCCGGAAATAACCATCATTCAGTTCGCTCAATTGCACACATCTAATTATGAAAGATTAAGTCTTAAAAATTGATGATAGTACATGTCTCAAAATGGTAACGTTGACCTTTTTGTCACAGTCTTATGTACATGGCATATTCTTTTGCCAATGATATAAAATGAGGATCTACTGTACGTATCTCGAAGTAAAAGATACAATTCATGCTGCTTCAGTTAGATGCTGGTTTAACTGATTCGACCCCAAGAGATTTCTGGAAAATCAGGCATTTTCGAAAATTTGCAAACATATGCAAATTATATGCAAATTAGTTGACTTTTGATGCTGTAACTGATGCTGACCTAGTAAACTATGTATTGGGATTTTGGGGCAGATGGCATGGGAGGGGGTGGGGTTGTAGGCGGTATATTTTCTGGTGGGTTTGAACCCACCCCAGCTATAAAATGGTAATTTTCAGTCTATTTTTCGATTTGAATACCACCTTGACAGGTGAACATTGGCCAACCTGTGTTTCTTTGTCATTCAAATATTACCGTGTTGCTACATCAGTCCATCCATGCTGACTGGAAGTAAATGTGACTTGAGTGTCTCGATGGGGAATTATCATTGGCAAGCCAGGTCTGCCTAAATGTCCGTTTTTACAGATTTCTGACAAAACAGTGACCTAGGTTTTACAGACCAGATTTGTTTGGGCCAAATTATACCTTCTTGTGTTCTTGTACTACTTATGCATGTATTTAGGGTAATAGTTAATACCTACACCCCATACTATTAACGAAGTGGCCATAAAATGACTCCCACCCTATCTGATTTTGGCTATTTTTCACATTTCTCCAATTTTGAACTCTAAGAAGTACATTAAGGTTGTCATATTTTCATAAAAACAAATCTTGGAAGAGTTTATGAACCATGAATTGCATTGTTGAACTCCCTACTGTCAACACAGTTCAGCTGGGGCAATTCTAAAAAAAGTATCGAGGGTCATACGGGACATCAAAGAATGGCGGTTGCAATCACGACTACAGGCGGTAGTTGGGGGAAGGGGTTTTCTTATACTATGGAATCCAAAATCTTGAAAGCGTATTATTCAGAGCATATACAACCAAAAAAGCATTGTTTTGTACTTCGTTTTTATAAGAATAACCAAAACCATCTTTGATAAAGTTTTACTGAGATGAAAATAAAAAAGCCAGAAATGGTATAGTAATCAATCTACCGCCTTCCTTCTAAAAAACATATTCACACTTATGGGTATGCATTGCCTTCGAAAATCAACACAAGACTACCTTGTAAACTCGAAACT